GATCACTAAAATCTCTTTTTTTTATTAAAGAGTTCTTTTTCCAAAAAAAAAAGTTGATGCTTTGTAGTGTTCCGAAATCAAGGTCATCCTAAATCTTAAAGATGTTTTGAGCCAACCAGGTAACCACCGGAATAAATTGTATCATTAGAAAGGAAGTACAATGTAATTGGGTTCGGAGTCATTTCCTGCGATTCCTAGCTTTCAAAAATCGGGAACCAAGCCGCCTAGCACAAGCAGGGGGCCGAGGATACCGGAACTAAAGCTTGGTAGCCTGAGTAGCCTCGTACGGGGCTAATAATTCTAGTAAAGTAAGCGTGCTGTCTGAGATGTTTTGACGGCTGCACATGAACAAAAATCTTTCTTTTTTTCGGGGCTTCGTACCCTGAACGTTTACCGTGACTCTGCTTGTAGCCTATGCACTCCCAGAGTTTATGCGTGTAACGTGTAACTTTCATAAAGCAATAGAAATCGTCAGTTGTGCTGTTGCTTTGGATACCAGCACCTGTGGACTTGACGCCTTAAGAAGTTGTGCCATATGGGCATGGGCATGGGCATATAGTGTTGTGCTATACTTGTCCAAAACATTGGGTTAAAACAAATCTTTTTTCACAAAGAAGGCTCCCTAAGCCAGTGGTTCTTAACCTTCCCAGTAGGTCGATATTTACCAGCTACTGGTACGTCGTATCTAAAAAAAGTAGACCATACCTTTTATATAATACATAATATAAAGTACATGTACATGTCAATGTAGTAAAATACGCCGTGACCAAGGACTACTATACTCATATAGTATAGTAGTCCTTGGCCGTGACTCATTTTGAGTCCTATTTGTTTCAGAGGAAAAATGGTCACTTTTAAGGACAAGCGGGCTAACCCAGATTTCGGGGGTTTCCAGAAATCTTGACCTACACCGAAAGTTGGCATTGGAGAAGTTTGGTTTCACTAGCGTGTATATTTGTTTTGTTGTAGAGAAAACTCTCCTTGCCTTTTTAGAGAAACTGAATAAGGGGCAAAAACTTCACTTTAGACTTTCCCAAAACAGTAATTTTTCAGGATAGCCCACTTGTACTTAAAAGCAATCAAATATCCTGTCAATCCGTGAGTTTTTAGATGCGATTTGCAACAGGATAAGTTCTAGCCTGAGGACAACTGTTGTAAATAAATGTGTTTCAGGCATATTTTGGACCAAAACAGCCGACTACGGCTGAGTTGGTGTCATCGGGGGAATGAAAAAAGATCGCCAGGACTACAGAACAACGGGACAACAAAGTTCTTTCTAGTCGGTCCTTGAGATAAAAATCCTGGCGATAGGAAAGGTAGCCGAGCAATATAATTTATTCACGTCATTCATCACTGCGCGCGCATCTCTCCGTTTTTGTGTGTGCGCGCGCGCGCGCGCGTGTGTGTGAGTGTGTGTGTGTGTGTGTGTGTGTGTGTGTGAGTGTGTGTGTGTGTGTGTGTGTGTGTGTGTGTGTGTGTGTGT